TGACAATCTTAGGCCCAAACCTCCATAAACCCTAAACCCCTAAACCCTAAACCCCAAACCCCTAAACCCTAAACCCCAAACCCTAAACCCTAAACCCTAAGCCCTAAGCCCTGAACCCCTAAACCCTAAACCCCCATACCCTCAACCTGAACAGTCTTCAGCTCCGAACTTTCTCTAGTCGAGAGAATCGAGCCCTCAACCCTTATGTTCAGGATTCAGAAATTATGAAAAAAGGCAGGGTTTAGGGTTTAAGGTTTAGGGTTTAGGGGTTATGTTTTAGGGTTTATGTTTTAGTGTTTAGGTTTTAGGGTTTAGGTTTTAGGGTTTTAGGGTGTGGGGTTTAATGTTTTGGGTTCAGGGTTCAAGTTTAGGGCACACCCTCTACCTCGTACCTTGAACGTGAACGGGCTGAAGGCTGAAATCTTCAGGTTTGTTTTCGAGCACTCATTGTCGAAGTCAGGAGTCAAGAGTCAAGGCGTGAGACCCCCCCCCCCAGTTCTTCAGCAACCTAAATATTTACTAGTAAGGAAGGGAGAGCTTGCTTTCCGCGAGGGTCTGGCGCATGTGGACAGGAAGCACGAAACGGGAAGGGTTCTTCACTAGACATGGTAGACTTTTTTCGCTGAGCTGAAAGGAACGGCGCCCTGCCCCAGGACTCAACAGAGGCTCCAGCGATCCTGGAGAGCAAGGGTCGCAAACGCAAATCGAAGGATGGGATTGAAGTTGAGGCTGGAGTAAAGCCTTATAATTATGGTACGGTGTCCTTCCACTATTACACTGACCTTGCAAACTTTGCAGCACACCTTAACAAAAGATGGGGTCCCGAGGAGTGCGAAGATCCACCCACTGGCGCCTTTCTGAAGGCAAAATTCAACAGATTGCTGGGCGATGTAATCGGAGCGACTTGTTGTCGTTCATACGGCCGACCCATCCAAGAGCACGGGCAGGAAGCTCAAAAAGACCTGAGCGACCCGTTCGAACCTTTTGAGAAAGAGAACCATACCGCCTGTATGAAGAGTTCCCAAAGCGCATTCTGCAAGATCACGTTCGGCTTCCTTATAAGGGAGTTTATATGGGATATCCCTGTCCTAAATTTTTGCTTATGTGGTTTTTTGGGGCCCTAAACCCTCCAATCCGCTAAACCCTAGACCCGTCGAAGCTGCTAAACCCAAGCGTTTGAACCCAAGCCCCTGAACCCTAAACCCCTGAACCCTAAACCCTGAACCCTGAATCCTAAACCTGAACCGTAAACCCTGAACCCCACACCCTGAACCCTAAACCCTGAACCCTAAACCCTAAACCCTTCATTGTGTTTGGTGCATGTTCAGCCCAGGTTTGAGCTTTTTGCCATGGATCGGTCCGCGCCGTCTGCAGGTTGGTAAACCGTGCTGACACTTCGGTGCAGGTAGGGTTTAGAGTTTAGGCGGGTTTAGGGTTAAGGGTTCAGGGTTTAGACTTAGGGTTCAGGGTAAAGCATTTCCCACAGACTCCAAGATCCCTTAATTAAGGAATATACCTTGGATTCTAGTAGGCTCCCTAATATATGATTCAAGGAGTATTCCTTCATTCAGGGATATTGGAGTCTCTGGGTTTGTGGTTCGCCAGCAAACCCATCGACCACACACTTAACACGCTTAAACAACCCTGTAAAGCACCTACACAACCCTCCAACAACAGAGCCCTTGTGGATCTTTTCCTTTTCAAGGCAAGCGTCCTTCCATTGCTTCATTTCTTGACATGGCACATACATCTGTATGTCTACAAAAATATATGAGTTTCTTCAGTCTGACACACTGCTGTTACACAAATGTACACACACACATACACACACACATACATACATACATACATACATACATACATGCATACGTATGGGTATATAGATATGACAAGAATCGTAACCGTAATCATCGTAACTGCAGTCATCAACATGTATTATTCGTATTATTTGCATCATTGGTTATTGCTATTATGCTGACTCACCGATCTTGTGTACTCTTCCTTTTCGTTTGTATCATGACAACAACAACAACAACTGTAATAGCAACAGTAGCAGTTGCAAGGAAATAGCAATACCAATACAAATAAGCAGGTGGGAAGTGCGTCAAAATCACCGCTTGGACAGTATCTTGAGGTAGTTTGCTTCTGGAAAACTAGGACCTAGAGTAGGCCTTTATTCCCTTTTTTAGGGTTCAGGTTCCCTTATAAGCCCCTTTATAACCCAAAAAGTGCACCCTTTTTGTTCGTAGGTCTCTTGGGTCTAGAAAACGTCACACCCCAAACTCGAGGACTCTAGGTAAGCCACCATTAGGCCCGCAGCGGAAAGGGCTTACACGGCACCAGGCACCATGACGCCCAGATAAGCCACTAGAAAACCCACACGAATCAACAGAAAATGCAGGCCCTTATAAGAGCTAAGCCAAAAACAACACGTATGTAAGAAAAGCATGTCCCAATGTAAACACCTCAAGCCTAACGCCGTGCAGCTCTGCCAAAAGCCCCCAAAAGAACAACAAACCCTGAAGTTAAAATCCCCTTGAGGTGTCAGGTGGCCCTGAACCCTTAACCCTGACCCCTACAAGCTTCCCAAACCCTAAATCCTACACCCCAAAAGCCGTCCAAACCCTAAACCCCAAAGGCCTTCCAAACCCTAAACCCCAGGAGCCTCCTAAACCCTAAAACCATAAAGCCTCCTAAACACGGAACCCTATACGGTTTAGGGTTTAGGGTTTAGGGGTTTAGGGTTTAGGTTTTAAACCCTAAACCCCCAAAGCCTTTGACGTGTCAGGTGGCTCTTCGCTGGAGCCGAAGCTGAAACGGAGACGTGCCCTTTCTCTGGGATCAGTGAAAAAATATGGGAGTTTCCGAAAATTAGGGATACCTTAGGGCTTCAGGGTTCCTTTAAACGGCTCTATAAGGGTTTAGGGTTTCCGAAAAATTAGGGGTACCTTAGTTTGGGGTACTTACAAAAGGATCCTACTATTTATGGTACTATATTAGGGTCCCCCCATTTTCGGAAATTCCGATGTATGTATCTATGTATATGGAGTGATGATCTAGGGTTTAGAGTCAGTTGTGAATAGGGGTCAGCACAATTAGGTATGTGGTCCCTAAAAACATGATATATTATTGAGGCCCCCTTAGTTCACATATAGTTGGAAAATGGGGTGTAGGGTTTAGGGTCAGTTGTGAACATAGGGGTCGGAACCATCAATATCAATAGTATCCACTTTGTTTCTAGTTCGATCTATATGGTACCCCTACAACAATGTTCTGTTTATTCAGGGCCCATGTTATGCTCCTCAGTAGTATCCCTTTCCTTTGGTTCTTCCTGGCCAGACTGAATAGAATGGAATGGTTTCCAAATAGTCATGGGGCGACCTCTCCATCTTGTAGGATCATCTTATGGCCTCTGTTAGTTGTTTCTAGGAGGGTAGGGGGACTTAGTAAGTAGTCAGTTTATAGACTTATAAGTATCATAACCCCAATTAGAATCCCTTTCAGGGTGCTTATCTAACTGCTGACTGGGTGCCAAACCCTCCACTTTGGAGGTTACGGGGCGTGGGGCCTGCGACCTAATATGGGGGCCTTACAATAATTACGAGAGGGTTCTCGCAGAACCACCACAATAGTATAGGTAATTATCAAGGCCCCTAGATATCAGCATCTGGGTTTCGAGTTTGGAGGTTCTGGCTTGGGTTCAGGTTTGGGGTTTAGGGTTTAGGGGTTTAGGGGTTTAGGGTTTAGGGGTTTAGGGTTCAGGTTTGGGTTTCTTAAACGGGTTGCGGCTCATCCCGATGAGAGGTTGGGGCATCTGGGGCTCCGAACCTACTTTATAGGGGCCGAAATAGTTACCAAAACTGTCTTGGGGGGTCCTTCTTATAATTATAGCATAATGGGCCCCAAGACCCTACTCTAACAATTAAGGCCCCTATATTACCCGGAAGGGAGTTTGTAAGTACTCAGTGCTCTTGCGTTTTTACTGGGCTCGCCTTCCTTTGTTAGGTGGTTCTGTACGGTAATTAGAACTCTTATACGTTCAGCTGAAAGTCTATAGTTCAAGGCTTTACGCCACGATGAGGTTCGGGTGTAGGCTCTAGAGTATGGGGTTTAGGGCTTAGCAAAGAGCTGTGATGCAGCAGGTGGAATCCCCCCCCAGGCAGTCGAGAGTGAGATATCTCCCACGAGACATGCGGAACAGTCTGACATTCTCACAAGTTCTTCGTTCTGTGCTGGGATGCTTGACCTGGCGGTTGTGGGTTGGGCATGTCTGACATAGTAGGGGTATGACCAAATAATTCAACAGAAATAGCAGCAGTTCTTGTCCAGTCAATACACCCCGAACCGTGCCTCCGAACCTCGACAGGATCGTAATTCCTTGCAGCCTGCAGGTACTTCGACTAAAGCGACTCATCAGGCTACATGAGGGTTAAGAGTTCAGACTTGAGGACTTTGGCGGTCTCTATTGGTGCGGGTGATGGGCATTACCGAAGTTTAGATAAACAGCTAAGCCCACGACGTGCATACGTACGTTTTTGTTCGTAAACCCTACGTGCCCCTAAGCCCCAAACCGTAAACCCCAAGCCGTGCCCCAAGTGTGCTCCCAATCAGCTTTGACGCCATACAGCGACCCGGAGAGCCCAATACCCTTAATTTGCAGAATATGCCTTAAATCATAAATGGGCGTAGTGTTATGATTGAGGTCATTTTCCTTAGCTAAGGGGTATTGGGCCGTCTGGGGACATCCTGAATCGGGACACTCTGAAGCACGGACTACCCGCGAGTGCTTGGCTAAGGTTGCTTTCCCCATACGAGTTTATGTTCATTTTCCGCACACAGTATGTATGTAATGTATGTATTTGTGTATGTCCGTATGTATGTCTGTGTGTATGCATGCATGCATGCATGCATGCATGTGTATGTCTGTGCACGCATTCATGCATGCGCTGATGAAGGTATGTATGCATGTATGCATGTATGTAGGTATAACATCCATGTGTATGTATACATTTTTTGTATGTATGCATGTACACATACGCATGTGTAGAGAGATCGCTAGTGAGCGAGCGAGAGAGAGAGAGAGAGAGAGAGAGAGAGAGAGAGAGTGAATAACTAGGCCCTTGTACATCGAAGGACTCTGAACATCAAATGATTGAAGCATGTCTCTGTGCCTTGCCCTGATAGTAGGATCCCTACTCTGGTATTTCTGAACCCAACTTCTAAGCCCTAAACCCTAAACTTTCTCTAAACCTTGAAACCCGAATCCAGCACTGTGAAAACCCTAAACTCACCCCTGAATCCGACACTCTACGTCTATAGGCCCAAACCATTGTTGCCTACTATTTGCTTAAGAACCCCCCAAGAAATAACAAATATTCCTTATAGGGGTAATATAGGGATTATTGTTTTCTATTTTTGGGGGGTTCTTAAGCAAATAGTAGTTGCGGTTGCCACATGCTCCCTGAGACGCTGCGCTCTAGCGCATCGAAGCAAATCAGCTCAGCCAAGGAGCTCGCGAAGTCCGAGGCGCGACTCTTGTTTGTTAAGGGCTTTAGGGCCAGGGTTTAGAGTTTGGTGATGCGTCACAGCTTCGTGATAGTATTGGGCTCTCAGGACGTTTTTGGTCAAGGGTCTACTTAGAGGATCATGGGACTTAGTAAGTCGGTTATAATTGGGGTTATAAGTCCCCTAATTGGGGTTATCCTAGTTATAACCTACTTATAACCTTACTTACTAAGTCCCATGAGCCTTCAAGTAGGGTTGTGGGCCATGTCACGGTCTTCTCAAAGGTTTCCTCGAGCTTCATCGTGTGAACAGCATTGCCTCACATGTAGGAGTTTCCAAAAATTAGGGGTACCTTATCTTGGGGTCCTTATAATAATGATCCTATTATCGAGGGCACTATATTAGGGTGCCCCATTTTCGGAAACTCCCATGTACTAGTAGGAGTTTGAGGGTGTCGATCAGGCTTCAGGAGTTTCAGAGGCGCCAGGCTTAAGGGTTCAGCCGGGATCAAAATTAGAGTTCTACGGCTGCTGATCTAAATCCTGGCTTACCTTACTAGCCCTAAACTATGGGAATTATGGTATATTTCTGATGATGGGTAATGCAGGGTTTATACCATCCACCGTAGTATCTCCGTTTCCAACAGTGGCTTGAGATTCTTATCTTGTTATGGGCCCAGTGGAGCATTCACAGCCATAGTCTACATGCCATAAAGCCTAAACCCTGAACCTTCAACCCTGCACCCCAAAACGCGACGGAGTCGTCGTGGTTTCTTATTCGGCAAGTCCGATGAATGGTAGTGGAAGTTCAAGCCTCAGGCGAATTCGAAGACCCAGGAACAATCTCGTAAACCCAAACCCCTAAACCCACCTGGCGGGATCTAACTTTGTTGCGTTTGGTGATGCAGGGTATCGTTTAGAGTTGACTTTGCTCTCACACCCTGAACCCTAAATGTTAAACTAAACCCCCAAACCCAAACCCCTGAACCCCTAAACCCCAAACCCTAAACCCCCCAAACCCTAAACCCCCAAACCCTAACCCCTGAACCCCTAAACCCTGAACCGCAAACCCTAAACCCCCCAAAACCTAACCCCTAAACCCTGAACCGCAAACCCTAAACCCCCCCAAAACCTAACCCCCAAACCCCAAACCCTAAGCCCTGAACCTCAGAAGTTCAGAAGTTCAGGTTTGGAGGCGACCACTCGGAACCTGACACAGCCAAAATGCCGAAGAGAAGATCCTCAACCCTACCTGCTTAGGGGTACTTAGAAATATTTTTTTTCGTTTTTTGGTGATTAGAATCCCTAAGAAACAGCTAAAATTACAATTTTTGAAAGGGTTCTAAGTTCAGTATAGAGAACTAGGATGCCCAGCAGTACCTTTATTCCCTTTTTGTAGTCCTAGGTTCCTTATAAAGTTACCCAATACCAAAAAGAGAGGCCTTTTTATTCTTAGGTTACTGGGTATCCTAGATAAACAATTACCAATTTTGTTGATGGGTTTCTTATTACAGGGAAAGAATAGCATGCCCCAAAACCCTTTTCTAATTATTCAAGCCTTTATGCCGACAAAAAACTGTCTTTTTTTGGGGTCCTTGTCATGGTTTCTACACATATCTTCTTAGAAAAGGTTTTTAGGGCCACGGGTATACAAGGCCGTAACCCCTAAACCCTAACTAAACCCCCAAAAGCCCTGAAGCCGTAAAGCCCTAAACCCATAAATCATAAATCCGTAAAGCCCTAAAGCCCTAAAACCAAAAGCCCTAAGCCCTGGAGCCCCTAAACCCTAAACCTTCTTGCCAGGAGATCAAGCGGCCCGCAGCGGAAACTTCGCTGCCAGCCTGGGCCGCAGGGCGTCTCCAGTGGATTTCATACGGCTGATGACCCAGAGACTCCAATCAATATCCCTTAAGTAAGGAATGTACCTTAAATCATATTAGAGATCCTACTATAATTTAAGGTTTTTTTCCTGAATGAAGGACTTTTGGAGTCTCTAGGGATATGGCAGTTTCCGAGAATCAGGGGGTACCTTATTTTGGGGTCCTTATAATAAGGATCCTACAATTTAGGGTGCTATATTAGCGTCAACTCCCATATAAATCCTGCATTACCCATACAAATGACTATACCATAATTCCCATAGTGCAGGGTCTTTAAGGTAATGCGGGGTTCATATCATCAACCGTATTGCTTCCACAGGATGCCGACAGAGAGGGTTGTTTAGGGTTTTGGGCTGTAGAGCCTTATGGTTATGGTTCTAGGATTTAAGGTATTTGGGCTGTAATTAGGGGTTTAGGGGTTTAGTGTTTAGGGCTTTGAAGCGTTCGAAGAAGCCGAAAGGCTGCGTCGTGAGATGACGAACGAGTTTGCCGTCTGTTTTGTGCTTCTCGTTTCAACGTGGTGTAAGAAATATTCGCGGTAAGCGGTTTCGCAGCTTCACTATGGTCTCAGCCTTTGTTTTCGGCTTGCCTGTAGTTGTTTGTGACTGCTGCCTCTTAAAGTGTAACTCGTTGTAATTATTCTGTTAGCAGCTGAGTAGATACACTTTACATTTTGGGGGATAATATTACCCACTATAAACTGAAAGACCCTAAGCCCTAAACCCTAAGCTTTTTGGTTCAATATTACCTTACCCACTACAGAACTGAACGTGTACTTTTGGGGGCTTATGAATTCAGCAACTAGGTCCTGCTGCACTGCTTAGGGTTTTGGGTTTCGGGTAATCAGTCAGTCGTAGGAGGTTCGGTTGTGTTTCTACCTTTCAGCTCATGGGCGAGACCCGAAACCCTAAAATTAAACCTGAAACCCAAACTAAACCCCTTAACCCCTAAACCCTAAACCTTCAAAGGAAGCACAATCCCGATATCATCGGTCCTTGCAGACCCTGCAGGTGTTTGCGGACCTGCGGTTGCTGATATGAACCCTGCATTGCCTTTAGGACCCTAAACTAAGGGAATTATGGTATAGTGCTTATTATGGCTTATGGGTAATGCAAGGATTTATATCATCAACCGTAGGGGTCTATCACTAGGTTTTTGTTCTTAATTTTAACCCGGAGGGTTTATTGGAAAGTAATAAGGGCCCTTAAGACAGGCTCCGGGTTGAAAGCTGCGAACAAATACCATTACTTTCTAGCCCTTTAGGGTGGCAAGCCCAGGCCACATCCAGCAAAACCTCTACGACGGAGGCAGCGCGAGTCGGGTGACGACAGAGGTTAGGGGGTTTAGGGGTTTTAGGGGTTTAGGGTTTAGGGTTGTAGGGTTCAGGGGTCAGGGTTTAGGGTTTATGGCACGAGAGTTTGGCAAACAGCTTCCTTAATGATTAGTTTCATGGCATTGTGGCCTTGTACAGTTAGCGTGAAATTGCCCCCCCCCCCCCCCCCAAACCCTGCTCTTAATATTCAGGCAGCTATACTCCGGTTAGCTGAACAAATACTGCGACATTGACACACAAAGTTTCGTCAGCTTAGTTGTGGGTTCACAAAGACAGAAAACTTAAATCTTTGAATTGTAACCTGAAGGTTGTAACCTGGTATGAGCATTTCTTCGGAGAGAAGGGGAATGAGATACCATGGCCTTTTGGAGCAGGCTGCCAAGGACGAACAACAGTGCAGATGCCCAAGGGATCCCAAGGGGCTAAGCCCAACATCGACGCCCGGAAGATGGACAGACTCCCTGCTGGCAGATACAATGGTGGCACCAATGAATCTCTACTTTAAAGTGGATGGCGCCCAGCAATTTATAGGATCCTTAAGGGGGGGTGGTTCAAGGGGGGAGGGTACTAGGGAGCTTTGGGGAACCTTAGGGAAGCTTAGGGAGTATTGGGGAAAAATGGGGATTACTAGGTTACCCCCCTTGGACCACCCCCCCTTAAGGACATCCTAAGCAATTGTCCCGCTACGAGGTGGACCTGGCAGCTCTTGGTGTGAGAGCGACGCTCATGCAGGATGGAGAAAGCTTCACAACATCCAAGATGCCGGTCTTTCTCTTGACGCGCATGTGCCGCCTATCTGTGGTAGCGCCTCTATGGATGAACCATCGCGCTGTTGAAGCTGACAGCGTATGGATCTTGCTTAAACAGGGGACTACACTATCGCCGCGAAAGGCCCATGATCTAAACCTTGGTGACGGTGACGACGCTTGCTGCGTCTGCTCTTGTTGTTTTCAACCAAAACCCTCTCTTGCGATCAAGACCCTGAAGCCTAATGCAGGGGCCTACAGAATTACCTATACTATTTTGGGGATTCCTTATTATTCAAAACCCCATCCTAATCATTAAGGCCCCTGTATGAACTCAACTTCGTGGATGGGCAACTTTTAACCATTTGGGACCTCTACACGACCTAAACTCCACTTCAGGGCTCAGGGACCTAGTAGTAGGCTGCAGTTGGGGCTAGTGGGGTTATCCTAATTATAACCTTACTTCGAAGCTACCTTAGGTTACTCCAAGTCCCTTGAGCCTTTAAGCAGTGGCCCAATATATTGTCGGTTTCCGTACCATAATTACTACGTATATATAGTATAATGTACCTCCCAAACCCTTTTCGAATTGTTAAGGCCCTTGGAACCCTGCCCTAAACCCCAACCCTTCGAGGGTTTCCATTCTCTGGGGCCGTACTGCTCCTGTTTGACCGGTGTCCGAAGAACGTGAGACCAGCCGTGAGAGCTTGATGTATGCATTGGGTTCGGGGTTTTTGTGCTTAGATCTTCAGGTGTTGGGGTTTAACCCTAAACCCTAAACCGTTTAGGGCTTGGGTTTTATTTTCGTTAAGGTTTTCGGGCTGAGGTTGCAGCCGCGACAGGCATACACTCGGCAAGTCTTCCCAAAGATCCTGTCCTGTTTCTTCGGCCGTGAGCGGTTTAGGGTTTAGGGTTTCAGCCATTAAATCAAACCCTGTTGGAGCCGTTCCACACTCCTTCATAAACCCTTTGTGGTTCAGGAGTCGGATGACAGCAGTAGCAGCGAGGCGAGGACGGGTCACAGGGGTGTTGGAACCACCTATGCCTAAACTAGGATGCCCAGTAGTACCCTTATTCCTTTTTTGTAGTCCTAGGTTCCTTATAAAGTTACCCAAAACCAAAAAGAGAGGCCTTTTTGTTCTTAGGTTACTGGGTATCCTAGTAAACTGATATCGTGGGTAGCAGTGCAGCTGGGGATTTCGCACCCCGTTCAGGATACAAGTACCTGGAAGAGTGAGCTTGTGTAGGTTTTCCAGTTTGAGGCTTAAAAGTTTAGCTTCAGGTGTCTCGGCGGCTTACCGATGTATCGGCTTGGGACAAACACAGCCTTTTCAAAAAGATGCTCTTCCTGTTGAGTTCCTTAAGGACGAAATGAACCCAAAAAAGGTTTAAGGTTCATGTACCATATAGGGATTCATAGTATATGGGTATAGGGCCCCTACGTTTAAGGGTGATTTGGTCCTTCAGGTTTAGATTGGGGTGGAGCATCGGGCAGGGTTGGAAGGCGGAGACAGGCATCGAGGGTTCAGGAGCAACCCGGAACGGAAGCCGCTAAACCCTGAGCCATGGATGATGGACCCAAACCCCTAGGTTTAGAGGTTAAGGGTTTGGGCTTAGGGTTCATGGCTTCACTTCTCCATGTAGCTTTCAAGCCTTTCAAGCCCTGAACAGATGTCCAGTGTGCAGAAGATGCTTTGGAAGTCCTTTGTCCACTTTCCAACCGCCCCAACATCCCTGAATGAGGTAGGGTTTAGCGTTTTGTGTTTAACTGTTGAGGATGTCGCGTTTAGCGGATATGGGCCAAATGCCGAAGCAACAAACTCCAAGTCACAGACCTGAAAACTTTGCAGGTACGTAGCTATCAGTGTGCGGTTAGTTCGCACACTTGATTGAGGTACCTAAGAACCCTACATTAGAGCTAAATTGTAATAGCATGACATTCCCCAAACCCAGAACCCTGGCCCTAAAGCCTCGTTTTAGACTTGAGGGTTCAGGGTTTAGGGGTTTAGGGTTTAGGGGTTTAGGGCATAGAACCTCCTTGCCACCTCCTCTGCTCCAGGGCAGCAGCAGCAGCTCAGAAGGTCGCAGTGCGCGTCTGAGTTCGGGTTCGTTCGGGCTTGCTCATCTGACGCACCATTAGTCGCACACCTAACCCCCCAGAGACTCCAATATTAAGGAATATACCTTCAATCATATTCGGGATCCTACCATAGTTTAAGGAATATTCCTCAATTAAGGGATATTGGAGTCTCTGGGCCTAAACCCTAAGTCCTAAGAGTCCGAAACGCCGAAACGCTACAATGCGAAAGATCTCGAGCCCAAAGACCCGAAACCCCAAAAGCCCGAAACTCTTAACGATCCTACATGCGATTGTTTGTCTGTGGCGCACCTCCCCTCCCCAATCTCTCATGATTCCAACAAGGTCTTCGACGCAAACTGGTTCGGACAGCACGAATCAAAGTCCAGGCAGAAGGGTTCAGGGTGTGTTTTTTCCCCATTCTGCAAGCAACACCTGGGCTGGATGAACTTGACGTGACGAAGGGTTCGTGTTTGGTGCGGTCTTCTAGGGTCAAGTTCGGTTGCGTCTTCATTGTTTTCAGATTTTTAGGCTTGAACTAGGGTTCTACGGTTTAGGCCTTAGCCTGCCCAAGACAGTCTTAAACGTTAAACCTTAAAACCCGAAAGCCCTAAACCCGAGCCTGAAGTCTCACAAGTGGAATAACCCCCAAATGGCCCTTTAATGGAGTCCTGATGGTCCTTAACCGTGGGTATTTCGGGTATATTTGTGGGTGCTTAGAGGATCATGGGACTTAGTAGGTACGGTTACAGGTTGGTTATCATGAGGAAAACCCCACTTAGGGGTCTTATAACCCAAGTATAAGCTACTTCCTACCCCCCATCATTCTCTATGGTAGCAGCCCGAAAGTTGGAAACCCAATAGCCTCTATCCTTAAGAGTCATGTAAAGGTAATCCCAGCACTGTTTCTCCTTAGTCAGGTTTCCAATTTTTCGGGGTTTACTGTGGGGCCTTGGGTGTTGGCGCCTAGCAGATTCGGCGAGTTAAGGGTTTGGGTTCAGGGGATTAGCTTTTGGGGTTTGGCAGATTCGACGGGTTTTAGTAGTCCGGGGGTCGAAGTGGAAGACGTATCCCAAAGCAGTGGCGGCCTTTGGCTGCAATGCCTTTTTAGGTTTTAGGGTTCGGGGTTTGGGGTTTAGGGTTAGGGTTAGGGTTTGGGTTTCAGGGTTCAGGTTTAAGGGTTCAGGGTTTGGGGTTTACGCTTTAGGTCTTGGGATTTTCAATGGCGTAGTGTATCATCATAAAAGCTGCACCGTAGTTCTTCTCACTACGGTTGGTATAACCAGCACATGACATGGACTCCCAGTGGGCCCTTTTTCCCTTGTTGTAGTCCTAGGTTCCTTATCAGGTTCCCAGATACCAAAAAAGGGAGCCCTTTTTGTTCGTAGGTTACTGGGCATCCTAGAGCACCAACGACGTGTCATCTTGGACAGCCTTGGTCTTGGTTCCGAGAAGGATCCCGGGCCCTTAATAATTAGAAGAGGGCTCCGTTAAAGGCCTCCTTAAAGGGGTCTATAAGGGATCTATAGTAGGGTTCTATAATATAAGGGCCTTAACAGTTAGAAAAGGATTTGGGGGTATGTTGTACTATTAAGCGCATTAAGGAACCCCCCACAATAGTGTAGGTAATTATTAAGGCCTCTATATTAAACCCTAAACCCTAGCCCGGCAGCAGAGCCGGTATTCAATCTCAAGCTTGGGCGGAAGCGGCAGGTACCTAGTGATCGCATGTGCCGAGTGAGAATATGGATGAGATTGACAAGGGTCTGTGTCTGGAGTCTAGCCTTCTCAGGATAAGGCTGTGGGAAAGAAACCTATGGCGTTAGCCGTCGGCAAAACGGAATCAGGCTCGCTTGCATTCGTAGATAGCGTAACTTTTAGGACACGATGTGCATCTGCGACTTATAAGAGCCGCCTCCGACAAGTTCCAGCACCCTAAATCCTAAACTATAAACCGCAAGCTGCAGTGCTCAAGCTATTCCCTCAGGCGCCCGATTTGTCGGCGGCCATGAATCAATCGTTTCTGCAGAGCCGATGTGATGAAGACGGCTTCTTTGGCACGTGGCACGATTTTCTGACGGTGCCTGAAAACGAGCATGGCGGATTTGTAGAGTTGAAGGACAAAAAGAAGTACCTTGGCAGATTTGCAGCGACAGAGAGAAAGAGAGAGAGGTTTAGGGTTTAGGGCTAGCCAGCTATCTAGATCGCTAGCTGGCCAGCTACCTAGGTAGATAGATAGATAGAATAGACAAGCAGGCACATAGGGAGGTATATAGTTAGTGGGGTATCTCGGTAGATAGATAGATAAACATGCGGATAAATAGAGAGCCGGGAAAGCTAGGTAGTGTTGGGGCGGAGACTTCTTACCGGCCCTGCCATCCCTCATAAATCCTAAACTCATGTAGTTAGGGTTTAGGGTTGAGGGGTTTATGGTTCAGAGGTTGGAGTTTAGGGGTTTAGGGTTTGGGGGTTTGTTTAGGGTTTAAGCCTCGACCCTACACCCTAGGTAATGAGCAAAACTCCCAAAAGTCAGGCCTGCAAGAGCTGAGTTTAGGTTGAATTTGCCATGTCAAGCAGGGTTTGGAGTAGGTTTTGCTGTGGGTGGGTGCATCAGCATTGGTGCGTGTATCTTCTTGCCGTTAGTATGAGGATCTCAGTATCGAGGTAGCGAGACCCTGCTCCATGTATTAAACCCTTCGCCACTCCCAGACGCTAATGATCCTGCATTAGGGTATCCTGCTCTGGGTCGAGGAAGAAGTATCTGGGAGGCCGCTACGGCGTTGCGATCGAGGAGGACAGAGCCCCGCCAAACCCGACCCAGCTTCATTTTCCTAAACTTCAAACCCTTAACGTGCAGGCCCGAAGCCGGAAACCCCCCTATCCCCTAAACCCTAAAGCGCCAAAACCCCTAAAGTTTCCTAAAGCGCTAAACCCCGAACCCCTAAACCCTAAACCCCTAAACCCTAAACCCTATACAACCCTAAACCCTACACCCCTAAAGTTTCCTAAAGCGCTAAACCCCGAACCCCTAAACCCGGAAACCTGAAGCCCGAGACACCCGGAAAGGCGTGCAAAGCAGAGCGCCGCGGCCAGCAGGGAGCCGCTGGTGAAGCTCAGATGAAAGGGTTTAGGGTTTAAAAGTTTAGGGCTTAGGGTTTAGGGTTTGGGTCCAAGCACCCTAAGAAAAAGGGTGGGTACGGCCTAAGCAGGCCTGGGTGGGAATTTAGGGTTTAGGGGTTTAGGGTTTAGGGCCTAGGGTTTAAGGTTTCGGGCTTAGGGTTTAGGGATGAGGGTTCAGGGTTTAGGGATTAGGGTTCAGGGTTTAGGGATTAGGGTTCAGGGTTTAGGGCTTAGGGTTTTAGGATTTAGGGCCTAGGGTTTAGGGGTGGGTGAGGTTGGGCCTTTTTGTTGGCGGATGTAGGAGTTTAGGGTGTAGGATTTGGGGCTTAGGATTTCGAGTCTCGGGAACAGGGTTTCGGCGACAATGAACGAGTTCGAGATATGTCTACCAAAGTATGTGTATGTATATATATATATATATATATGTATATGTATATGTATATGTATATGTATATGTATATATATATATATACACGCATACAGTGACTACAGTGTATATATATATATATATATATATATATATATCCGCATATAGTGACTACAATGTATATATATATATATGTATATGTACATATATATATATATATGTAAGAGAAACCTTTATGTATTATGTGACGCTTCTCTTTCTTGAGGGCAAGGTTTCATTAGTTTCAGAAGTTTCAATAGTTTCAAAAGTTTTGAAAATTCGGCCTCAACCCGAGAACTATTGAAAGTTTTGAAACCCTGCCCACCCTCATCCCGTACCTTGCAAAACTTTTGAAACTATTGAAACTACAGTATTAAAACTTTCAAAAGAGGGAGGGCAGGGTTTCGATAGTTTCAAAAGTTTTAGAAGTTTCAAAAGGCAGCCCGCCCGAGAACTATTGGTTCTATTAAAACTTTCAAAAGAGGGAGGGCAGGGTTTCAATAGTTTCAATAGTTTCAATAGTTTCAAAAGCTTGAAAAGTTTCAAAAGGTACGGGATGAGGGTGGGCCGGGTTTCAATAGTTCAAAAGTTTCAATAGTTTCAAAAGTTTTAGAAGTTTAAGAAGACAGCCCGCCCGAGAACTATTGAAAGTTTTGAATCCGGGCCCACCCTCGCCCCGTACCTTTCAAAACTTTTGAAACTATTGAAACTATTAAAACTTTCAAAAGAGGGAGGGAATAGTTTCAAAAGTTTCAATAGTTTCAATAGTTTCAAAAGTTTTAAAAGTTTCAAAAGGTACGGGATGAGGGTGGGCCGGGTTTCAATAGTTTCAAAAGTTTCAAAAGTTTCAGAAGTTTAAGAAGGCAGCCCGCCCGAGAACTATTGAAAGTTTTGAACCCGGGCCCACCCTCGTCCCGTACCCTTCAAAACTTTTGAAACTATTGAAACTGTTAAAACTTTCGAAAGAGGGAGGGCAAGGTTTCAAGAGTTTCAAAAGTTTCAATAGTTTCAAAAGTTTCAAAAGGTACGGGATGAGGGTGGGCCGGGTTTCAATAGTTTCAAAAGTTTCAAAAGTTTCAGAAGTTTAAGAAGGCAGCCCGCCCGAGAACTATTGAAAGTTTTGAACCCGGGCCCACCCTCGTCCCGTACCCTTCAAAACTTTTGAAACTATTGAAACTGTTAAAACTTTCAAAAGAGAGAGGGCAGGGTTTCAATAGTTTCAAATGTTTCAATAGTTTCAAAGTTTTAAAAGTTTCAAGAGGTACGGGATGAGGGTGGGCTGGGTTTCAATAGTTTCCATAGTTTCAAAAGTTTCAATAGTTTTAGAAGTTTCGAAAGGCAGCCCGCCCGAGAACTATTGAAAGTTTTGAAACCGGGCCCACCCTCATCCCGTACCTTTCAAAACTTTTGAAACTATTGAAACTATTAAAACTTTCAAAAGAGAGAGGGCAGGGTTTCAATAGTTTCAAAAGTTTCAATAGTTTCAATAGTTTCAAAAGTTTTAAAAGTTTCAAAAGGTACGGGATGAGGGTGGGCTGGGATTCAATAGTTTCAATAGTTTCAAAAGTTTCAATAGTTTCAAAAGTTTTAAAGTTGCACAAGGTACGGGATGAGGGTGGGCTGGGTTTCAATAGTTTCCATAGTTTCAAAAGTTTCAATAGTTTCAATAGTTTTAGAAGTTTCGAAAGGCAGCCCGCCCGAGAACTATTGAAAGTTGTGAAACCGGGCCCACCCTCATCCCGTACCTTTCAAAACTTTTTATTGAAACTATTAAAACTATTAAAACTTTCAAAAGAGGGAGGGCAAGGTTTCAATAGATTGAATAGTTTCAAAAGTTTTAGAAGTTTCAAAAGGCAGCCCGCC